CAACGCAAAGTTGAAAATCCAGTTGGCGGAGGTACAGATGGCGACGGCACGACCACGAAGACGGAGAGGGAACAACTCCGGAGGGTATGCCCATGAGACAGGGCCCCAGGTAACGGCGTATGAGGCCACGAACAGGTATGAGCAGGCAATGACAGCCTTTGAGGCGTGACCACCGACTTCCCAAGAGGCTGCAGCAACACCGTCAATTCCACCGGGGGGTGCGGCGTGACCGTAAGAGGCGAGGAGACCAGCGTTGGCAAACAGCCAGGTCATCATGAGAGTAGAGCCAAAGAGAAGGGTGGGACGACGTCCGAAGCGATCCATGTAGACCAAGGCCGGGAAGGTCATGGCGACGTTGATAACATACTGGATAGACGAGGAGACGAGGAGGGTGTTACCGGTGAGACCAGCCATGGCGAAGACGTAAGTCTAAATGAGTCCATCGTTAGTACATTGGGTGATATATAGGTGTTTGTGTGAAAGAAGCTTACAATGTAGTACATCATGACGTTCATGCCAGTAAGTTGGGACCAGATCTGGGTGAAAAGACCGATGTGAGTCCTCATAATCATCTTTGGCTTGAACAATTCCAAGAAGGTCGCATCCGCATTGCTCCTTTCAAATTCAACCAAGGCCCTGATGTCCTGAATCTCCTGGACAACATATGGGTTGGTGTGATCACCATGTCCGTGCATCATGGCGATCACATTCTCGCTTTCCTCCCACCTATCCTGCCTGGCTAACCATCTGGGCGATTCTGGCAAGAAGAACAGACCGAAGAACAAGATGACGGCGGGGACCATCTGAAGACCCCATGGAATACGGAAGGATGCTGTTCCCTTGAGGTAGGAGCAGCCGAATGAGATGTAAAACATGATCATGATACCCCAAGTGATGGCCCACTGCTGGCATCCGACAAGACGGCCACGGATATCGGCGCGTGCAATCTCGGTGATGTACACAGGGACCTGGGCTGAACAGATACCAACGGAGAAACCGTTGATAAAACGGCCGGCAACAAGCATTCCAATGTTCTGAGAAGCGCAAATGATGATTGATCCGATACACCTACATACCGATATGTTTGTTAGCTCGTGTTTGCAAATATCGAAGCTTACTGAAGAAAAATACTGACCAGATGATGGCACCGATCTGGATAGTGTATTTACGACCTAGCTTATCTGAAAGCCAACCAGAGCAAAGTGCACCAATGAACGAACCACCGGGCATGGCAGCTGTGATACCACCCTGAGTGTCTGAAGGGATATTCGGGCCGAAGTATTGATTGTATGCATCGGTACCGATACTGGAAGGAAAATGAACATATCAGTGCATGAACTTTACTCAAAGCAGAACGATTGTTCATAATATCGAAGAATAATACTCACATGGCGGACATCGACGAGATGTCAAAACCAAAAAGCGCACCACCTATACAGGCGATGGCCGTAATGAAGTAGATATTACTGATGACATACATCTTGGTAGAAGTATACAAGAACCTCTTCCAAGTTGATTATAAGACAAGAAAGCTGTACTAGCTATTGAGAATGGAAAGGATGAGGAGAAGGAGAAAAAAGCGCGGGGCCGAAGCCGACTTTATATAACCCAGGTACCGCATTTGCAGGTCAAATCCCCCGGGTAGGTTCCGTATTGAGCCCTCATTACCTTGAAGCAGGTCAACGTTGTGCTGCTTGATCTGCTGCTGACCTGACCTGTGTAGTACGCAACTCACGGACAGGGAAGAAAAAGAAAACTGCGATTTTAGGCAGGCAGGAAGGCAGGCAAGTAATACTCACGCACTCATTAAGTCGTCGGTCATATATGTCATTGCAACCAGTTAGACCCCTACATGGAAAAATTCCGAGGGCCTGACGGAGCGCGCGAGTATTACCCAGGGCTGCCGTGCCCCAAACCATTGCAAGCATACAGTAGCAATTAATTGACTCGTGATTCTAACAAGTACATATCACATCAATCCTGCAAACAGCCGAGTCACTGATCATATTGCTATAGCGCTAGCTAGAGTAGCTGGCCATTTGGCACAGAAGTACCGACGCTTTCAAAGCAATTACAATAATGCGTACTTGTTGCGGTAAAGAGCAAATTTCACGCCAATATACCCCACGTGAGTATTTCCCCCACACCCCGGTTTTCACTGGGGTAAATTGAGTTGTAGGTATAGCAAGTTTACCCAGATATCGGCTGCTCTAGAGTACAGTAATTAATTATTTGCGGAGGAACAGGCGGTTGCCTACCTGGGAATCTGGAATCTAACGTTAACCAGATACATGATGCAAGGTAGTTGTTGCTTGACGTACAGGGAGGGCCAGCCAGAGCCAGGACCGACGCGACCCAATGCCGTCGTTTCAGAAGCGAAAGGAGGCTCTGGGGTTGTTTCTGTGGCCTTGGCAACTTGCCGGTTTTTCCGAAGTCCGTTGCTGACGTCACATTCCGACCCCGATGCGGCTCGCCTCTGCTGGAATTGGCAAAAACAGACGTCAATCCCTTTTTGCACCCAGCAACCTTTCCCTCGATGTTGACAGCCAGTTAACTGACGCCCTCCTCTTCCCCACGCACAAAAGTGGAGTAGTGAGCTTCGAGTGGCGCTATTTTCGATTACTGTTTGGTTCCGGGGAAAGAGAGTGAGATTCCTGGAAAAACCGAAAACGATAATTCTGTTAATCGAATCTGTGGGGAGGCTGGGGAAATGGAAGAAAAAAGTGGAGTCGACACTGCAAGGTTAATTCATAGCAAATAACCGCTAAACTCAACAACACCTGAACTCTCGCAAACAGATGCCAAAACACAACCCCCCACAAACAACCTTTTGGTCAGGGCGCGGTTAATTCAGAAATAGTCACGATACGGTTCCGGTGACCTGGATGAATATTCATGGGAGATTTAGATTTAGAATCACTATGTATGTGGTGGCAAAGATACTGGAAAGGTCACGAGTACTATCAACTACTCCTTGCAATTGAGTAGTTACTCACTGCATACCACAACTGAAAACACCCCATTCGTCTGTAGACTAAACCCGGATTATAGATTGTCACCTACATGATTCTAAAATGAAAAAAGAGAAGGGAAAAAACAGATAAAGAAAAAGGACGATGCCTCGGCAGGTATCGTATCGTATCGGTTCATGCTAGCCAAAGCTACACCTAGTGAGCGATATTCAGGCACGTTCCAGTAGATATGACAGATTGGTGTTTATCTATCAATCGAACGATTTATGGGGAACCAGTTCGCAGAAACCTCGGGGAAATTGAGATAAAACAAGCTGTTTCTCCAGGCATCCGGGAGGCTACAGGGAGCTCTGTTAGCGCACGAACTCGGGTTCCATGCCTAGCTCCAACTACATGGATGCTAGCAATTGCAACTATTTCTCGAGCTCGAGGTCTCCTATGTTTCAGGGAATTATATTACACTCTGTCCATCTTGATTCTTAATTCTTCAGCTGGAATTTCCCAGAACCCAATATCACCAAGAAGGAATGTACAGTTTGAGGTCACGATCGAACTTCTTGGTTTTCTTGGTGCAACGTCGTCAAGCAGCAGCCACAACTATCTTGGCTCGCCTTATTTTTCTTGCCAATGCCCGGAACAACCTCTTGCCATGCAATGGCTTCCGAAACATTTACCAAGGGTGAATTTATCCATCTGCATTCATCCTTCCGGATTCCGAAAAGCCACGATCATGCACCTATCCCGTATGTATGTAACCTCCCTACCTAGGTACAAACCTCCATTTAGGCGCCAGAGAGGCCTACGATTTGATGGCTACTCTTTACACAGAGAAATTTTTCTCCCCCATTTCGGGATCTTGATGATCCGTGCGTGCGGCTACACAAGGAAGGGGAAAAGAAAGGGAATCGGCGGTGGATGTTGTGTTACGTATTGGCAGCATGTGTGGCAGCTATGATCAACTCCACCGCCATTTTCACTCTCGTGGACTACCCACAGGGAAGATACATGCTGCTGTCAACCATGTGGAATGGAAGAAACACCGATTCTACGTGCCGTAGTCTAGCTAGCTAGCTAGTCAAGTAGCTGGCCAGGTGGTACTGGAATCTTTTTTATATACGCGTCAACGTCAAAACGCGTGCATACGATATTTCAGTCCCCGTTTGTATACGCACATCTCCACATCAGTCCAACTGTGGAGTACCATAGACCTAGAAAATAGGTACGGTCTTTACGCCGACCCTGGAGATGCGGTGTTTTGGAAAGGAATTCTAGTGGTATCAAATCCTTTGAAATCATGATCATCTCCACAATTTACCACGCAACACCTTAACTAGTTTTTATTTGTCTCTCGGGCTCGACCCCGCCTGTACCCGAATGGTACATACAGTCCATGTATCTCGCTAACCCTCAATTTACTCCACTCGAAGAAAAAAATCGACTGAGGTTTTTTGCGTTTTTTTGTGGGGAAAATTCGAATCTATCCAGCCAGCTAGCTGGCTAGGGTTATGGTTGGATTGGGATCTTTGCTGGGTGAATAATAATCAGAAATAGCTATGCTCTACATACACTCTATTTACGCTCGGTAACTATATGCTGGTATACTAATGGGTTGGAATCGAGGGATTGCTTGCAGAATCGGAGAAGCTCAGGGAATGAATAATGCAAGATATTTTGAGTTTAGATATCTTCTCGGTCTGTCTGTATCTATTGGAATCGCGGCCCGGGGGGAACAGAAAACCTCTTTGCAAATTTACTCTGGAAGGGTTTAATTGCGATTTATCATCAAACAGGCAGTCCTTGTCTTTCTCCATGGCAGCACTCGAATTTCGAACATCAATACGTTTAGGGAGAAGATAATCATTATTATATATGACTCGACTCTTGGAAATAACACAAACCATCACTACTATTAAAACAAACATAAAGGCTGCTCACACAATTATATATGTATATCGCCGTGGGTAGTACAACCCCCCCCCCCCCTCAACTTCACCCACACACACAACACACGTCTCGAGCTCAAATAAATCATGAAACAGCATGCAATACACCCTGCCCACCATCCCTCCTCCTACTACCACTACTACTGATAACAGTTACGTCCCACCCCCTCCTCCGCAGCCCCTCCAGCGCCCTCCTGCGTACGGCCCCCATATTCTCAACGCTCGGAAACTTCCGCGCACGCTTGACCCGCTCCTCTTCTTCTTCCTCATCATCCTCGCATTGGTCTAAAAGCCTCATGAGGGCCTCTAGCGCCTTCTCGCGCGTCGACCGCTTGTGGCCCACTAGGCCCTTGGGCTTCCGCCTCAATATCGGTGGCGCGGGCTGCTGCTGCTGCTGGCTGGATGGCAGCTAGAGAGAGGTTTAGAGATATATCAGCCACGACAGGTTTGGGGGGTATGCTGCTGCATAGACATGCAGCTTATGGTGTGTGGGTGGGTGGAGGAGGGGGGGGAGGGAGGACTAGGGGGGGCATACGAACATGAGGAACACTCTGTACAGTCATGAATCCCGATATCTCCGAGACCTGAGGCTCGGCATCATCTTTCTCCCTCTCGAGCTCTTTGTACAGCTCCTCATAGCTAGGGAGCACCCCTCCCCCTCCGCCGCTGCCTTCCCGTGCTTTTTCGCCCCGTTCTACTACTGCTCGTGCATCTTGCCCGCAGTGGTGGTGCGAGTCGATGATGGAGGATAGCAGGGCCTCGAGCTCAAAGAGAGTGCTTGTTTTGCGCCGCGGAGCGGGGAGGTAAGGTGCCGGTGTTTTCTCGACGACGGCGGCGGTGGTGACGGGGCCCGAGTTCTGCGCTTCTGGGGGTGCTGTTGCTGCTTTGCGGGAGAGGGAGCGAGGGAGGCGGTTCTTGAGGGTTTTGAACATTGGAGGGAATGCAATTGATATTTGTGCAGTTATGATAGTTATAATATCGAGAGGAATATAGTATTATTAACACTATGTAATTACCAGTAGTAACTAGTAGTATAATATAATAGCGAAACTCATATCATTACAGAATTTACGGACTACATATAATGTCCTGGTTGCTGTTTATTTGTTTATTGTTTTTGTTTGGTTGTTTTTACTTTTACATTCCAGGTCATGTAGCTGAGGGCTTTGGGGATTCGGAATGTGGATTCTTGGTTCGTGACCATGAATACAGACGTTGAAACCCGCCCATCACGAACGTACCTCATGGAGTTCTAAAGCCACGATACGATCTGCATACAATTACCATTGTATCGCAAAGCCAATCACATCCCAAAGAATCCCATGCAGCACCTACAAAAGCCACGATACGCAATCCCAAATGAAGCCACAACCACAACCCCCACGCACGCACCCCTTGAGCAGCCCCCATCACTGTAGCTATTCCGGCCGGCCTCCAGGTCACAACTCACGATCTCCACCACACACGTATGTACACGCGCGCGCCGACAACGGAGCGGCCGGAGCTCGAGGAGCACACGTTATTGCGCATCGTGGGGGCTGACTAGCGGTCGGTCGGTGGGTTAGCGAGTATATATGATGTCGCTAAGGAGCCGTGATTTCTACCGGGGGTTATATGTTAGGGTGTATATATATATTGGATCGGCCGAACGTACGGGGGTTACGGTGGCTTCGTCATAGGGTGTCACTCGGGTGTGATGGGGGTCATTGGGGGTTTATTGTTTAGCTCATGGAAGAGGGATGGTGGTATATATTACATAATATTGTGTCGCTGTAGCTAGCTGTTAAGTTTTAGGGCGCGTTTGGCAACGGCCTAAACGGAGTTAAAAAGTCCAAAAGCTCCGTTAAAACTGAAAATCCCGTTATGAGAAAAGTTGATGCCACTTTTAAGTGCAGTTTTGATGATTTTAATGGAGTTTTGAAAAAGTGGGTCTGACTTGCTTTTCCATGTTGCAACGCACATCCTCACCAAAATACATGCGCTAAACCCACCAAACGGTATCCATGTTTGGCAAACCAAACTCCATTTAAGGATTTCTCTGTTTGCCGGTTGCTAACGGGATTGTTGCTTAACGCAGTTTCTAAACTTTACTTCCTCCAAACGGGCCCTTAGATCTAAAACTCTAATGAATCGACTAGTCAAATGTGTCAATCTCAAGCCGAACTCAGTGGAAGCTGTTGTCCTGGCCTTGTGTGATGATTACTGTAGGTGTCGATTCTAACGACCGATATATACATGTATGCTCGATCATGATCATGAGGCTAGCTACCGCAAAAACTGGCCTCAGTGGCCGGTCACACAGGGCGTCGAAGCTGCCTTTGTAGGCCAGTATGGAGGTTAGGGTCGTATTCGAGACAAATAACCAAAGAGAGGAATTCTAATGTCTTGTGCGACCAGCCTGTGAGGCCAGTTTTTGCGGTAGCTTATAAAGCGCATGCTGTCAGTATAGCAATTACACTAGAAGCAGAGCTCCTGTGAACACGCGCGTACCATTGATCACGAGGGCACGCACCTCCGGCCGTCGTTACGTGACGGATCGTACTTAAGGACTTACTAGCCGTGGGACGGCTCGAAGGCATCGATCGGTAGGAATATAATTGAAGGAACGGATTGAAGGATATATGAATACATGTACCAGACAGACAGCTCCCCCGCAACTCAGCAGTGACCATGAGATGAGGTAGGGTTAGGAACTACATGTATCGCGAGCCTACAATATTAGCTGTGTCCCGTGATTCCGCAAATGCACTACCAGCACTACAAGCAGGCGCTAGAAGTACCGGGGGTTAACCATAAATACCGAGAATCTGATAAGATAAACACACCTATTTCACAGCAAGATTCTCTTATCAGATTCTTCGTATTTACCCTCAACGCCCGGTACATGTAGCTAGCTGGCTAGCTAGTTAGGGTTATGTAATACTGACGACGCCCCTAAAAGGGCCCGCGCGCGGTTTAGTCTAGACCGACTCTAACTCTTTCTGTGATTATGTCAGTAGGGTTCTAGAAGTTGGATGCCTAGTGTCAACGATCCCCGCATCACCTTTTTTCAGCCGCATGTGTGATTAAGTAAACCTGCTGCTGCGAGGTCGATTAGAGAGTCCTGAGATATCCTAGGTGGCTCTGAGATTGGCTTGTACTAGATTACTAACCGGCTAGCTAGGTGGTATGGTTTGGGCCTCTGTACCAGTATGAACGTTGTGCTGATCGTGCTTGGTGGTTAGATAGAAGTTGAGCAGAAGTTGATATGTAACTATACTGATCACCGAGATGGTTATCGAGTCAATATACCATATCAAGCCTTCATAAATATACCAGAAATATATATCCGGCCTCTTCGGCCAACCCCAGGTAGCTACAGACAGGTCAACATGGGTTGAAAGACAATAATCATGAAATATCACTCGACATACCAATCACTCGGTATTTTTCAAGAATTGTTTCTGATGTCTCGAGACTCACATAAGATGCTAGAATAAGTTATAGTAGCTGATTTGAGACGTCTGATAAGTGGGCTGGTGGATGTTGTTATCGGTTGTGGCTCGTCGGTATATTGCATGGCTTGGGGATGAGAATGATATTTACATGATGGATTAACGAGTCAGCATATTTGTGGAAGACCTGGATATGCTGGAAACGGGTTGAATACTTAGCAATAATCTCGGGTACTGAGATGGAGGGGGATAGCGTAAGATTTAGTTGTTGTAGTAATTTTCTCTTCGAATTGCAGCTTGCGTAAGAGGATCCTGCAAGGACGAGTATGGTTGATAATTGTATTCAAGGAGAGGTCCTCAGTAGCTCTCTATTTGAGTGATTTCTTAGTGCGTTGTGTCTATAATACAGCACACTTGTCTTTTGACGTGGGGCTCAAACCGTGTCCTCACAGCTAGACTTCTACGTCAACGCATGCGGTTATATATTGAAAAGTGTTAGTGATATGGCAGTACGTGGCCTAATATCATCCTTGGCCATTGAATTAGAAAGAGTTGTCCAAAACGACCAGGGATACGTTTATTTTTTAAAAAAAAACAATGAGGTGTGAGTGGCAGTCTTTCTCCGCAATGTTAGATACCAAAGGCGTTAATTCAGAACTAATCACAAACGCATTGCAGAATGCCTGTACCATTGATCATGATTCATATTCCTAGATATGCTATCGGCATTTAGATCAACTATACTCTTTTAAATTTTTGTATCCGCCGGAGTGAATTCGGCCTAGGCCCCATTCTTACAATTCGGCTCTACATATCTACTGCTCCCATCGTTCTAGATTATAAGCCTTTTTTTTTCTCGGGCTTCTCCTCAACCCCACCAAGCTCCGGCTTTTCTCCCTGATGCTCCAACTCCTCCCTTTCAGAGTTCTCAAACTCTTCAGGTTTCCAATCATCACGCTCACCCCCGAGCTCTGCCTCGAGATCTTCATCATCTTCAAGATCGAATTCCTCATCTTCGGGATCGAACTCTTCCAGTTCATCGTCATCGCCCAACACGTAATCATCATCGTTTTCTGCCCCTTCCTCCAGACCCATATACTCGGACATCATCTTATCTTTCTCCACCTCACTCATTGTATCCCACTCGGGTCCAAACATACCCACCCCAGAGTCTTCCAACTCTTGCAATGCTGAAATTCTCTCTTCTTTGCTCATCGTATCCCACTTGGGACCAAACAGCTGTCGGCCAATATCGAGCTCCTCCCACGCTAGATTTAGCTCTTCCATCGCCTTATCCCTCTCCTCCTCAGTCATCGTGTCGTACTTAGGCCCAATCGTCTCCCGTCTAAATTTCTCATAATCATTCTCGTCAAATAAAACCTCATCTTCCTCCTCCTCCATCTCCAATTTACGACTCGTAGGTATCTCGTCCCACTCTTTCCACTTTTTCTCAATATCGACTTCATCACTCTCTTCCAACGGAAGGTCACTCGGCCATAACCTCACATCATCGCCCGGGTCCGTCACCCACTCCCTCAGCCCCGGCGATCTTTGCCTGTTCTGCCTCACCGTGGCATTAATATGCGCAGCCGGGATCCCGGCCTGTATTCCCTCCTCCAGCAGCTCCGCCCACTCGTAGACCGCTTTCTCAATCTGCTCGTATTCCTGCGATATGGTCCTGGCCGTGATCATATCCATGCGCCGGCACCACTTGGAAGCGCTGGGAGTTTCGCCTTTATTCCAGTCTGCAGTGAAGTCTTTTACGCCCTTTTCTCGGCCCCACTTTCGGGGTGCGGCGGCGGCGTTTTGGGGGCCCTTGTTATCCTTCCTAGAGGGTGGTTTGGCAGGTTTAGAGCCTTTGGAGCTGCCTTTCTTCTTGGCTAGTGGTGGGGTGGTGGTGAAGTTCCTTATGTGGAGCGTCTGGCCGAGTATAATTAGCTGTCGCACTGGTTTGGGCGAAACGATTGTCTGGTATTGTGTTTTGCGGAGAGCGAGGGTCGATCTCAGAGGGAGAATTAAGCTTCCTCTAGACCTAGATATGGCTTTGAGGACTATGGAATTCATTTCTTCGTATGCGTCGAATGGGATTGGAGCTGCGCAACGAAAAGCTTCAGCGGGAATGTGATGTCAAGAAATATGACACCACTAGTAGAGTTCTTAATAGCGGGATTCGCCCTTTTGTAAGTAGAAACAAGTACGGATTGGAAAATTGGGAGTTAGTTGTATCAATTGACTGGTTGTACTGATCTCATCTGAGGATGAAGATTCTAGATGTCGTGAACATAAAATATCTGACTAAGAAGGATCAGCTAACCTAATCTGGATGATTAACTCATTCTCTAACATTTGGTAGCATACGTAGATCACGGACCGCGTCACCCACATGCACTCGGATGCGAACAAACAACTAGCTACGTTCGCAAACATAAACCTTAGGAGTTGACTTCGTACCAAGTACCTTCTCGACCCCCCGCCAAATACCAACCAATCAACATCTACTACGGAGAGGAGTATTACAGTGGAAAGAGAGCGTGTACGTACTGAAGTAACAGTGCGTGTATTTAAAAGATTCTCTAATTAAACGAACGGTCTCACGTTATCACCCGCTGGTTTAAGAAACCAAACTAGTACGTAGTGACTTTCAAAAAATTGCTTATATGATGTTTGACTGACCCCTTCCTTGTTGTTTCGAATCATATACTATCACTCGTTATCCGAATCACCCCGTGTCACATCCGGCAATCAATCCTATAAGATTCCCAGCAATCGCATACCTCATCACCTTGAAGGTCATCTCCTCAGATGCCCATGATCTACCTGAAGCATCAAGTCTGGGGAAAGACCAAGATATACCATCGTGGTACATTGGGGGGACATGATACATTAAGTAATGGTCCCCCAAAAAAGAAAAATCCGTGTCTTAAGATTCTACCTGGGAGTCCACAACGCTCGGGCCATGAGACGGTATATGCTTCAAAAATTGCCTCCCACCTAGCTCGCTACTTTACATACATACTCTACCCCAGGGTTCCAAATTGTCGGGAAAGGGCCACATTCATTTTCTGGTGGCGGAGGCACTTAGCCTCAAGCAATGAGCATGTTGCCTGAGTGAGTGAGTGATACACAGTGATCTCGCTTGTGCCCCGAGCACCAATATTCCTCGCTACCAATGGAAACCTGGTATGGTTAGAGGCCGCTTAGCCGGCCTCTCAACTAGCAAGGAAGGGAAAAAGTGATTCGTCAAGATTTCTGGTTTCTTCTATAAGCCAAAAAAGCCACCAACTTGTGCTGACGAGACAATAAATTTGTGAGCTACCAATCTTACTCATGAGGGTCAGTCATTGCCATTAATATATTCGTGTACATACTGATATGATGATGCAGAACAAAGAGTTTTAGACTTCTGAATATATACATATATAATCAGTTAGAGTCGAGTACGTGGCATGAGATATCTATCGTCTGCGTCAGACATGTACATGTGCGAAGGTGTAAGAATGATGGGATTACAAGATATGAGATTTTAGCGTATATGGACGACATGCTGTAGATATAACACAGCCTAATACCAAAGCATCTTCAGGGTCAGGTTTTGTGAGGCTGAATTACCGGATGGAAAGATCCTGATGCAGATATCCACTGCAGCAGAAGCTAGATTGACCGTCTTGCATAAAAAAATGCCATGATTTTCCTTGCATGGGTCATATGGTTCGTCCCTGACAAAGAAAGAATATTAATTGGGGCCAGAACGAGGCTCAGACACTATCTTGGTCCGCGATTGCCGCCATAAACGTGGTGTTTTGGAACATCAATTTCCTGTTTTGACACCGACCCCAAATATCTCAGAACCCGTATGTATCTTCTGTACCGGCCACCGCCCTCAAGTTTCTAAAAATGGAAGGTATACAGGGTGCCACTCGTATGTTTTGACGGATAGTGAAGAAAATCGGACCCGAACCCCGGATCAAGCTCTAGAGCTGAAGTGTTCGATTCATGCCGTGAATCACAAGGCTAGTGTAACTACAGCTACACAGGATTGTGATACTCTACATACACAATCTGCGGAGGAAATCCTCACGGTCGCAGAACTTTTGGCGAGGCCCGCGACGGTACATACATATGCGAAAGATCCTCGAAGGGATTGACGTTGGAATAAGGCCCGGGCTGATCCAGCGCCGATTATGCGTTTGGCTGGAAGTGTTTGAGCACAGACAGAGAGATAGAGAGACAAGGCTCGCGTGCCGCGGTATCCAGGCGATCAAGCTATTAAGAGAAGCGTATTCAAGCATGTACTCCTCGAGCAGTGTGTGTGTATGTGTGTCTATACAATATGTATTGCAATCTAGCGGCGAGATTCTATTCGCACAATATCCTTGCCAGACTCGAGAGGAATATCACTGCAAAGAAATGATCACCATGAAGCGTTGATTGTAGACATCAAATGTCAGAAGAACTACCTACATATTTGATATACATCAATCACAGTGTTACGATCCAAGTCATGAACCGATTAGTGGAAATCGAAGATCCCTGGGCTATTTCACCGGCTGGCGTCCGTCCCCAGATAAAGCTCCGATGTTAATTAATCCCAGACGCGCGATGCTTCATCTCTCGCAGCCTGTAAAAGTCTTTGGAGGAAGTGTTTGAGGAAAAATCTCGTCTCCAAACTTGGACAAGCCAGCAAATTGGTTAACATTCGATCAGTACAAGGGATATCCTGCAGTAGTGGTGTGTATACTTTTTGCTTTCTTCTTCCTGCAGATGATAGACACCTACACTTTCAGAATCTACGGCCTGTAACTCGTGCTCACCCTCACCTCACACCTTTGGCGTTTTATTCATGGGTCAAGTATGTACCAACGTGCTCTTAGTAGGCGGTTGTACAACATGCTGTCATGTCCAAAAGAACACATCCATCGATCTAGGTAATCAATTAGTATCGGACCCAGCGCTTTCATGCAAGGGATTGCATGTATCCAGCACCAAATCAGGTCTCTCCATGATAACCTCATACCATTTGGTCATATGTCACCACCACCACTGTCCGTACCCACAAGTGGCGAGGGTCTCGAAAAGAAAACTGGAACTCCATCCCGTGGGGATTAACATGTAACCAGAAAAAGCAACACCAAAAAATCAGGAACGCAACTTGCATGGATTGCGGTATTTACAATAGAACCCGCCGTGAACAGTTGATTTTTTTTTCACCTTGGCGTCTAATTGGAATCCAGACGTGCCTTTGTTACGTTCCGCTAGCTAACTAGCTGGGCCTGTTCACGATATCTCACTCGAAAAGTGGCTTAGCGTGGGGTGGGAAGGAAAAATAAAGGATCGTCAATAAGCATGAATCTCTTTTTTTCCCCACGGGGTAAGTTGTCTCTGATGCGGTTGGTACCTAGACACCGCACTACCCGCATGAGGCATATAGAGTAGAGGTCTCACCTTCCCGTAGTTCAAGTCAGGCTGAGCGGCCCAGTCAGTCAGTCAATCAGTCAGTCCTGGGCCAATTTTGAAGAGCTTGAGATTCAGAACAGGATTCACCTCAGCACAAATAAGCGACTTAAAATGCAGAGTCCAGACTTGCCACGATACCCGTTCCGATACGACCGGCCGGCAGTCCTCTCGAGTTACCAGGTTATCGGTACATACAGGAGAAACGGTCCGGCCAGCCACTCACGTCCCGTCAATTAAGAGACCCCATGCTTCCCCACAGTCTAGTTCTTCTTGCTTATGTATCTAGCCAGCCCTGCTCCGTTTGCTTGCCTGCTTGCGCGGCTAGTTGATCTCGAATTCAATCGAAAATCTTTAAAATCTTTACGGGCTCTTGTACGTTTGAATTGCGCCCCCTCCCCCCTCCCCCCCACATATTGACAGCATGTTCAACGTCTTCTTCCACTTACTGATGTCCAACGGCCAGATTTTCAACCATGGTACGTACTATCAGTTCGATCAACTAAGTTTACTCTAGACATTCGGTCCGTTTGACTGAATCCATCAAGCCAACGCTTTAGAACCAGGCCGGACGGGATTGGATCTGTGCGTTTAATTATGGAAAGAGAAATGTTTTCCGCAAAAAAATTTAAGTAATTGGCCAAACGCAATTTGTTTACATATCTGATGCGTTTATATATCTGGGGACCTCTACGGCTGATGCATCATATCCGGGTTATCATAGAGCTTGGTAAGAATGTGCAGATATATAAGGCGTGCCATATGAACGAACGGGGCTGATAGGCTTGATCATTGGCTGGTTGGCTCAGTGGATATGGAAAGAAATGTCTCATCGGCTCCTATTCACAATATCGAATTAACTATAGTTTTTGGTAATCCTACGTATGACCGAGCCCGAGACTAGCTTGAGAGATGTGGTTTATATAAACCTTTCATATCTCGACTTTAATTTATACAATTCCACGTAGTAAGAGTCATTACAATCATCCCCCGAGATGCCAGGGGTAACCAAAACCTAAAGTTGCCAGAGAAAGCAAAAAAAAACTACATATAGTCTGCTTCACAACCCATCACTCGCCCAACAACCAATCCCATCTATGTACCCCCTCGCAGGAAAAACAAACCCGTCGATCCCGTCTTCCAAAAACCCATGTCAATCTAGCCAACACAACTCTTGCCCGCCAGTTTTTTTCATATTTTTTTTTTCGCACCACCCCAGAAAGTAGCTGATGATCCATCGCGACATGCTTCGCAGCCAATGAACAAGACACCCGGCCTGCGGGAGACCTCAAAAAAGCAACGGCCTACAGGGTCCCGTAGATCGTCACCTAGGCAGGAAAAAACGAAGGAAGAGGAATCCAACCGGGGAGACACTGGCGATGCAAGTTTTTACTAAAGACCACAAGCTCACTTTCTCTACTCTAGCTGGTCCAGTACTCGCCGCAGGTAACAAGTACCCGAAAATGCAAGCCCTAATCTGCAATTACCATTGGAGTAGAAGTCAAAAATACACCAAAACCTTGCAGCTATATTTTCGGGTACTTCAGGCCTGTTGCGAGTACGTATTTTACATAGCCCGCTCACTGGCTATCGTCGGGTTGGCTCTAATAAATAGAACCGGCACTGGATTGGGAAGGTTATACATAACTTACCATGAAGGGAGGAAGATATGGTGGTAGGTCAGGTCTACAAATTCAATAGGTACTTGGACGATTCAAATGTTACTCTACCTTAGTCCATCCCTGCCCAGGTCGAGTGGATTTTGGGCGTAAGCGCGGTACAGAAATGTGCCGCCATTTGGATTATGGACAGTAGGGGGTTATGATTCCCCCCCTTCTGTCTGCCCAGCTGTCCATCAGCGAAAAGTGACAAAGTAGCCCCCCTTCCGACTAAGAAATTTACGTGAGTCGGAGGTACCGGTGCCACTGACCATGAGGCTCTGCCCACCGGACCACGTTGGAAGTCCCTGGTGGTCCCCTAGAGCAACGACACAACCACAACGGGGTTAGTGCCTACACAAGGATCCCTTGGCAACGCACGGAACAGCGTCGAAGGAACAACGAGAACACACATACGAGAACACACAAAGATCCATTCTAAATGGCTCAAGCAGATCCTGCCATCATTGCAAGAGCGTTTACCAATCTTGGAGCTCGGATTCCTCTAATCTCCAACCATCCGACGGTTCAAAAGCTAGACCAAGCCCAAAATTTCCAGGAAGAAGTCCGAGGACAGTTCCGTCGACACGATGAGCAGTTCACTCAGTTACAAAGGACTTTGGACGGAGTGGAACGGGGTTTGGAAGAAATGAGACGGGAGTTCCGCCTCAGTCTTAATCAAATATCCAGAGAGTTTGTACCATCTCACACACATATTACTATTGGTATTGGTGGACTTATCAGAAATACAGTCAAACATTGCTTCCATTACGTCTATACAACACATCTTGTGGAAACAAAGCACATCTCCGCTACCCAGTTGGAGTGCAAGCTCAGGCGATCACCCGGGACAACTTACTAACATTCACAGGTAATCTTATCCCACATCTATGCGAGCGTAATCCAAGACTAACAGCCTTAGTGCTCGAATGCCAGCAGCTTGCAGTTGCACTTGGGCTTCCAGCCCTACTTCCGAATGTTACAGTTATGGATCGTCGTCAACAAATTGCGTCGTATCTCGGTGTCTCTATTTGAGGTATGCCTTTTCAGCTGAGTTGAAGTATTCGGAGTGCACCCAAGATTAACATTTTCGATAGGACAGGCCGTTCGGAGGAAGATTTTTTTTTCTTTTCTATGGGTTTTCAGTTGAGTTATCTCTTCGGGGCGGATAGGTGGCTTTGGTTGTCGGCGTTTGCTATCCCGAATACCGTCTTTTCTGGTGTTGTCGCTTTTCTTATAGAGGTTCATTGCATACATTAGGCGAATAACATTATCTTATTGCTTGGGCAGTTCAGAAGCACTCGAAAAAAAAAGGGCTGAACGGAGGAGTCCCGAAAGAGTTCTTTGCGTTTGCACCCAAATTGTTATTTTATTACGGGGGCCCCGCTTGCGGGGGGCTAAGCCCGGTATGAGGTGAAAAGATTATTTTATTTTGTGAGCGAAAGTGAATATTAAGTTGACAGGCGCGAGATGAGTTCGAGTGTGATTTGCGCGAGATGGTCGAGTCCGGCCGGTCCAATGACCGACTGACTTAAGTACCATGCACTCACTCTAGTTACCTTGCCAAGGTGGTGGTAGTGTGGGGTAGGTATGTGGGGTATGTGCCCGAGTGACTTTTTGTGCTTTAGTTTCTAGGACTTGACAACCTGACCTGGCTACATGTGCCTACACACTTCCTCTACCCACTACTCTACCCTACCTTACTCTTTCCCAGGTACAGGTAGATCACTCTCATCTGATACTTACCCCGTATATCTGTACCCATATAAAACCCCGGTCCTAGCTAGACTAGACAGCGAGAGACATCAATGCTCGTTACCTATTGGAAGTCCGTAACCAAGCTGGCTGCTGGCCTGGCTCCATCGGCGTTACCATCGGATCGGTTGTTTCTACCTATATATACACAAGGCGCAGCCCCCCGCACTCTCCTCCCCGGTATCGCTATGTAGAACTCTCCAGGTTAGGGTAGGAGAGGGGTGCGGCGGTAGGTATGGAATCCATATCGATATGCTTTTTTATGTATCTTTCGATGTAGTAATTGAGATGGCGCGCGGTCGGCCTCAGATGCGGGTCAGATGGGAATCCGATTCCGATCCTCAGATAAGATTTGCTGAAGTTGGTTTGGCGATGGTCGATCTGTTTCAGTTGGGGTTGCTTGGGAGATAGAGGTGGTGGTGGAGGTGGTGGTTACGAGACAACGCTGGTAGGGTTTGTTTCTGGATGGTGGTGCCTTGGAGGGAGGGTAACTCTGACTGCAGATATATGTTGATCATATTATAATGATCTTCAACTCTAACTCAGCGGAGCAGAAGACTGAGTGAGCTGGTGAGCTGTGCTGTGTCGAGTTCGTTGGGTTCACAACCAGAAGTCAGATGGACAGGTAGGTAGAGAAAAACAGCATGCCTCCCAGCCAGTGGCTACCGGATGCTTCTCCCTTTCCAATGACGAAGAGGTTGGACCCTTAATCTTACGGTATTACTCCACGGCTAATATAAATTCACCTGTGCCTACATCATCATGCGGCCGCGGCGCCTAGAGTACAAATTCATAGCTAGCTCTATTCTACTAGTTCCCTTTCGTTTATCGTCACGTCGCCAACGAACATTCCACCAAACCCGAATACCTAGCTACAGACTCTAGAGCCAAAGTAACTAATTAACTCTTTCGCCGCCGGCAGAGTGCATGTTCTGTTCCTCTGCGTTGTCCTCAGTTTCCGATATCTTGGTTGCGTGGATCGTGGTCAGATGTGGAATGACGTACATTCTCGGGAAATTAGATAAGAGGAAGAAGAATCAGAAAGTGAAGATTATGAGTGAGTGAGTGAGGGTCTGTAGCTAGTAGAATGTGTAGTTAAGAAAGGGAGAGTTAAGGGTCATGATGGATGGATGGCATGCTGCCTGCAAGCTAGTCATGTGCGAACGTTACACGATATTGTGATTGTGGGGTTTCAGAAGGGAAAACGTGAATAGCACGCTCATGTATTATGATGGAATCGTTCACGGGCAGAGTCGCTCAGGGTTCGCTCTGCATAATCAGCCCATTTTAATCCTTCCCTTTCAGTTAGTTGGAGCAGGCCGTGCGTAATTGATATGTTTTCGCCCGCATCTGATTTGATTTTTCATCTGATCTGATGCACTGGGGGGAAAGGAGTAGCTGGAGCTTGGAGGAGCAGGGGAAAAAAAGTGAGTGTTTCTCCGACCACCAGCCAGCTCTAGCCTCTAGGTGCTCTAACATCACCACCCCTTTCGTTTTATTTCTTTTGCTTTTCTTTTTTTCTCTTATGCTTCAACTTCACGAGATCCTTCCTCGATTTCAATTGGTCCGGTCACAGGCAGTTACAACTTGGTGACAGCACAGCAGCAGGATACCTAGAGTACCGGAAGTACCTACATGTATCTACATCCACTTCACTCACTCACATCTCCCTCCCTCTACTTTCTCTGAGAGATATGTAGGCACAATGACATTGCATCAAAATTCATGAATTGTTTATTTGATTTTTTTTTCTCCCCATCCACTTCGAACAAATCTACCTCAATCACCATGTATCGTCATTTCTCCCGCTGCACAAACTTAATTCCCCGTAATATTTTTAATATTGTCTGCGGGGTTTTGTTATCTCACGATGCTTCCTCCTCTGGTGTTGTAGCAATCGAATTGGCACGGTGACCGCGCATGCATCGGAAAAGAGCTGTCCGTATGCTGTGTCCACCTTGTCCAGCCAGGTCCAGTCACTCGCTGCTAGCATGACACACGACCCATAAGGGCGGCGCAACTCTCTAGGTAGGGACACCTCCCTCAGAACTAACCCGCTAAATCACGAGCCAGGCCCTTTTGCTTTTTCCCAATCACCACTAAGCGAAGGAGATCCTTTTTTTTTTCTCTGCTTCCATCTGTGCTACAACGGCGGCAGCAGAGAAGGAAGGAGGAGGAGGAAAGAGTAAGTGGTCCCTTGATCATCCATCCACCTTACCTACCTCCATCATAATCATCACCGTCATCGTCATAGAATCAATCCACTGCATGGTCTGGATGCGTGTTGGATGTGTTCCTACAGCTCTGCTGGTGATGGTTGGCGGTCACAGAATATGAAAACGATAATAAGTTAACTATTACCTCCTCATCCACCTCCGTGAGCCATCGATCTTTCTCCTCCCTTCACGATGTGTTATATTCTGCTGTGCCTGTGAGGATTAACGGAGAAAAAAATAAATTAATTTTCTAACGAAAAAAAAAGCTAAACTCCCGAATTCAATGAATTGCATCAGTAGGCAGCTCCCCCAGACAAAAGAGAGATCCGCACCCGCGACGATCCATCCAGCTACTTACCGACCCTACATAACGCTATCCCTCACATCCCTCCATCCCAATGGCCTACCATCACAAAAGAAATCATATTCCAAAGGGGGAACATCTCCAAGAAGTATTTCTATATATGCGGCTCAACACACATTTTTTTTTCTTTAAAAAAAATAACCTTCCCATAGTAAAAAAGGAGGGGCAGGTGAGGGGCAATGGAGGGGCTCAGGGTCCGATAGTAAACAGGGCCGAGCCCTATCCTATCGACTATCGATAAAGAGTGTTACGTGGATACAGTCTAGGGTGCCGCGCTAGCTACCGCCAGAAGAAGTATATATGGATTAATACGATAAGCGGAAATGCCAGAATTAAGTAAACAAGGAAATACCCAGACGCAGTACCATGAACGTACCGTAGCTAAGTAAACAGGAACTCAGTGAAGCCAAGTGAAGGAGCCGAAATCCAAGGGTACAAAAATTTATAAACTAGGAACGACGGCATCGTGCTGTACGCGCTGTGCACAGTGCACAGGCATTGTTCTCGTTCGATATCGACGTCATTGAGTTACAGACCGAACAGACACAGAACACGAACACAGACAGAAACAGGACAACCGGCCTTGTCGGACTTTTTTTTTATGAAATCAAATCAAATCGTTGGGCCGAATTACACACGCTAAAGCACACACACATCTATCCTCGCATCGAAAGGTTTGCAATAGGCATGGTTGGCGAAGAGAGAAGACGCAGGGCGGCTCCCGCGGCGGCGGTGGTAGAGCATGTGGTGCGGTTCATCCTTCCTTCCATTTTCCTAAATATGTTTTTATTTCCGGTAAAATACCTAGATACGTGTTGGAAAAGGAAGAATGTGGTTATATTGTCTTTGACTTTGGGGAAAAGTCGAAAAAATCGCCCCTGCAAATAACAATTAGATTGGGCTGGAAACAAAAATCGCGCAAGAAGGCGATTATTCAGGTCAAGATTTGCTTAAACTCCGTTGCAGAAGATCAGAAAGAGGAGGAAGCTCAAGAAGCTCAAGAAGCTCAAGAATCGGTTGGTATGTATCTACCTTTGTTCCTCACCGTATCTTGGGGGGGCCAATGCAAGATGTGATGTGAGCTTCTAGCCTTTCCGTACCTCAAGGTTTAGCTACATACATGCCGCCGTCTCTTCATGCATCTGATTTGGCAGAAGAAGGAAGATCTTGCTGCTTTTCCAGTGCCAACCACCGGCGAGCGAGATGGGTAAATGAAGGCTCGGCAAGAAAACCGTTTTTCTCAGGGTACAGTTCTGCCACACTGGGTTTCCTTCCGTCGTTCTTTCTGTGCCAAAGCTGCCCGGGACGCCACCAGCTGACCTGAAGGTCCTTTTCAAACATCATTTTTTTTTGAAAGATAAAGGCAGCATAAACAAAATGCGACCAAACGCAGAAAGGTCTCTACCATGTGTATATTTGGAGTCTTGATTCCACGGTTCTGACGGGTTCGAAAAGTACATATACATACATGTACATATTTTACATATGCACAAGGAAAAGGTGATATATCAGTCTGGTTGTAATTCAGCCTGATGGTTTCCGAGATCTTCAGCTGTGTAATCATTGGCCGGGGTACTTAGAGGTACAGTTTTTTATGATCAACCGAGAAAGGAATTCGGCTTGCGCCTTTTGGGAATTACACCGGCAGCATACTTTTTTTGCCTCCTGGATGAAGATGGTGGTGGAGATTTAATTTTTTTCTGCCTTCTTTTTTGTTTCCATGGAGCTCATGGATAACAACTACCGACTTGACTTCTGCAAATTACGAGAAGGGAACGGGAACGGGACGAGCAAAAACTAATTGAAGGCGTGCGTCTTGCCCCCAAAGTAGCGCCAAGGCACAAGAAGGCTTGCTACTCTACTGGCTGGCATTGTTAGAAGCTTAGAGCTAGGTCCATATCACTGCATCGATGTGATAGTATCTCTCGCTCAGCCTTGTAATAATGGAAATTCCGCCAATGATTAGAATTTTGGTGGTTCTGGGTCATTTTGCCGTGTCATTTCGCTTGGTGGGTCTCCACGGTCCTCGTTCTGATATGTTTCTCGAATTGTCAATAATGATCTACAGACAACGTGGTAGGGTAGCACGCGCGCAAAGCTACTCTAGAGTACTCCTTACCTGCCTACCTGATGCAAGACATACCTGTTTCTCGTCTGGAAACGTGGATTATGGTCTTACTCTGGAGGTATTACCTACGTCTAGAGTACTTATACGGAGTTGTCTGATATCTCGTATATATTTACATTCCAGCATACCGAAAGGAGTATTCATACTCGTCTATTCATAGCGTTTCCGGACACGACCAATATTGCATGACATACAAAAAGGTGGATTTGGCGCTTTTTTATATGGTATGCAATAGCAGTCGTGTCCGGAAACGTCATGAATTTACGAGTACATACATACATGACTGGTTGAGTACGGAAGGGTACAGCAAACTCGATCATTACCACCCAGATATAGAAATCTGTGTATCCATCTATCCTTTAGGCATAACGCGAGGTATCCGTGCGTCCCAATTCATCCTGCTTACCTGTACCTGGACATGCAACGCTGCAACGCTGCATCTTATCAAACTATCGCCACTTTACCAAACAACCCGCTACTAGGTGCGGGCGCGCCAGGCTAGATACCTACTCTAAGTACCCTTTCAAACACCCGGCGTTTCGACGTTGCCGCCGTATTGGCCCGCCGGGAAGATCCAGAGGTTCATCCGGCACAATCTTGAAAGCTTGAGCGGCTCCTCCCGAGCGAGAGACCGGAAGTAGTAGGCAATGGGCGGGATAGAAACAGATATGTGCTCAAGTCTCTTTGCTACAATTTTGCCCGTGAATGGTATATACAGCTATACACAACTACATACGTACTTAACCTGGTGGTTGTTGTATATTTGCCTCAGGTCAGCGGCATGGCCCATGACCAGCGGTTGTTTAATATCATTTCTCCCGGAAGGTCAAGATGTAAACGTTTGGTTTATTATTATTATTATTATCATTCCTACCAATTATTTTTATTTTCCCCTTCGACAACGGCGGATGCATAAGGAAAATCTATATGTGTACATGTATGTACTGTACATCTGTACATCTTCTCGGATAAAACCCCAATCACAATCATGCGAGCAGCACTCCCAGCTTCACTACCCTGGAATCTGGATGGATGGAGGCTCCTGTTCCTGCTCGCCCGCCGCCGCCTGGTAGTTATTTTATTTTTCTCACG